TCTCAGAAACATTAACATTACAACTATTACTTTTCTAAACTGTTCATATTTACATTTTCATTAAGTGCTTTTTGTCCTAGAATTTATGAAAAGTACAGAAAATGGTTGGTGACATCGCTTAAATTAGGGCAATATCAATGGGGGAGATACAGTGTTTGGTAAGACAAATATTACCTTGGCTTTATATGTAGAAGGAAAAATGTATATGCGTATTAATACACAATTGAACAAAGGAACCTAATTTTGATGGGATATGTGATCTTTAAATACAAATGTGTGACAGGAAATGAAGATGACACAATCCTTTGAAGTGTGAATCCCAAACTGGAGATTATAATGATAAGAGCAGAGAGGTGTTAAATAAAGGTATTACTGTATTAGTCATCCTTGGTCATAATTAAAAATGGAAACAAATTTTAAAAAATCTATTATTGCATGCTACTATTGAGGAAAATGAAAATGCTTAACTAACATTTGACGGTTTTATTTGTTGACATGATTCATAACAAATCATTAAATATTAATGGTAAATTTATAATTGGATAGATCAACTTTAGATATATCCCTATAAGATGAAATTGTATTAACTATCTTTTAGCTTTCCTTTGTTTGCCATATTGTCTTTTATAGATGTTAGTTCACATATCGCACTAATTCATAAGATTTACAAACCACAGAAACTAGGTTGACACAACACACTAGCCAAAGACAGCACTCCATTTTACGATTTAGTATGCTGTATGAATCAGCCAATATTGTATATGTGGCAACCTATCTTCATATGACCATGAAGTATTTGCCAGCTTACAAAAAGCACATAAAAGCAATGTTAGCAAATCTGAAAATATATTTGATTTTATGCTGCATTTGATTCCTGATAACTTCATAGATGTGTTCATTTAGCAGCAATACAAAGTCATTTGTCACTATTTTCTTTTTCCTTCAAATTCCAGCTTAAGCTGCTATTTATTTGTCTTACTAACACTACAAATAATAAAAATAAGCAAGCTGTAAAAACGATCTTGAACTGAAAATGTATATTTATCACAGAATCAATTACCTTTTGCTCCTAGTTGAGATTCTTCTTAGTCCATAAACATTCCGCTCCTTACATAAGGTCTAACCTTGTCAAGAATATCCCAGTAGCTCCTTCATGGCACTTGTTGAAAAATATCTTGACATAGGATTTTTGTTGGGTAGTGTGGGTCCAACAGCTCCTGAGGCATCTGGGTTTCTTGCAAACTGATTGGAACTCCCCAAACTTGGTAAGTAATTACTGAATAAGTATTTTCTGCCCACATTTGGGTAGACCAGATTGTCCTGATAAAAAACACTTACACTCTCCCTTGGTATAGCCAACAAAGCTAGGAGAGCCCGTGACTTAGGGGTTAATACATCGACCTAATATGTAAGTAGCCCACGTTCAAATCCCAGAAGTGTATAGCTAGCTGACGAGAGCTAAATAGCTTGAAATAGATCTGTACTACTCTCCTTTTATTTCTTTGTTGGTAAATATAAAATTTAACACAAAAAATAGTTTGCTGCGAAAGTGACTGCCTGTAAAGGCTTCTGGATTGGGTCTGAAAGGCGAAAGCAGAAGCAATATGCTTCATCCCATATTTGGGTAGACCAGGTTGCCCTGATTAAAAAAAAAACACTTAATTATTGAATAATTACTTAATTACTGACAGTCTGTAAGGATCTGCCTCAGCTAATCTCAGGAAAGCAAGGCCCTTGAAACAAATTGTATTTTTAAAGGAACTTTTACTGAGAGAAGTGATTGCAGAGAAGTGAGGAGGAGTCTGAAGATTCCCGCGCTTTCGGTTTATCAGAGTATTGTTTGTGGAACCGTTTAAGCAATCTAGGGGCCTTAAATGTGTTTTTTAATCTATCCACTCATTCTGGGACCCAGGAAATATTGGTCATTGCCCCTGTGCAACATAAATCAAGAATCTCTTTAATTTAAAAACATGTTGTTCCCCTTCCACCATAAATGGTTTGGGTACAAGTAGAGAGGTTGGTATTAATGGGGATATCACCTCGGGTTTTAATAAACTGCAGTGGAAAATGGGGTGAATTCTCCTCAACAACTTTGGCAATTCTAGTGATACTGTAACCAGGTTAATAATGTACTTGATGGTAAAAGGTCCTAGAATTTATGTCCCAACTTGAGATTTGTAAAGATTGGAGGAACTGAGTGGATAAATACACTCGGTCCCCAATATGGAATTTTTTAGGTTCAACCCCTTTTTCATTAGCCTGGATTTTATAAGCTTCCCTCACCTCAGCAAGTGCTTTACACACAACTGGCCATGTGTTTTGCAGCTGGTCCATCCACTGTTTTAATGAAGGAATTACTAGATCTTTTACTGGTAACTCAGGCATAGGCTTGAACTCTTGCTCTGTTGCCACTTGGAAAGGGGTAAAACCGGTGCTGCTGTCCACTGCATTGTTGGAGACCACTTCAGCCAACATCGAGGTCGGTCCAATTGACCTGTTGGTAGTTTATAAAGCATCTAAGATACTGTACCAGAACCAAGTTCATTTTCCCAGTCCCACCATTAGTTTGTGGATGGTGATTAGAACTGTGTCCCTGATCGATACCAAATAAGTCCAAAAAGGCTCTCCAGAACTTAGAGGTGAATTGGACCTCCCCTGTCAGAGATTATTAGTTGTAGTGTTCCGTGTAGATTGAAGACATGGTGTAAACATTTTTGCTAACCCTTTGTGGTGGGTATCTTCTAGTAAGGAATAAAATACACTTGTTTTGAAAATAGGTCTGTCACAACCCAAATTACTGTGTTTTCTATGCTTTTGGAAGCTCTACAATGAAATCCATAGAGATCTCTTTCCATGGTGCTGAAGGCTCGGCCACAGTTTGGGGGAGTCCTGATGTTTTCCTTGTCTTCACTTTGTCGATGCGCAAATAAGGCAACTGGAAACACAGCTTTCAATGTCCTTTTTGAAGAGGGCCATCAAAACTGTCCCTTGATGAGATGCAGACTTTTCAGAAACCCAAAGCGCCCTGCCAGTTTCGAGTCATGACATGACTGCATAATTTTAAGTCTCTGACTAGTGGGTAGATACAGTTTTCCTCCCATCCAGGCCAGTCCATTCTGGACAAACATTTTTATGGCTACCAAACTACTTGTCATTCTCTAGGGCTTTCCTGAAAACAACCACCATAGCACTGTCCACTGGCAATTTCTCCTTCTGCTGAGCCCCCGTAGTCACTTGGACAGCTAATTTGTGTGATGAGAGTAACGGTTTAATTATTTCTGCTTTAGCACTATTATATTGAGACAATGTTGACAAAGCATCAGCCAGTAGGTTCCTCCCTCCCCCCCCCTCCTAGTAAGTAGTACAGGGTAAAATTGAATTGCTGGAAGTATTGGGCCCATTGCGCTTGCTTGGGGGATAGCTTTCAAGGGATTTTTAAAGCTTCCAGGTTCTTGTGGTCGGGCCATCCCTGGAATGGGATTTTACTCCTTCTAAGAAATGTCTCCAGGAGATGAGCACTAATCTTAACAGTGTGTGCTTCCTTCTCCCACACAGCCCATCGTTGTTCAGTTTCGGTTAGTTTTCTAGAAATGTAAGTGTATGGCTGCAGCTGTCCTTGCTCCAGCTGATCCAAGCTGATACCAGTGATGTACCCACCACCACTACATCACTGGTATCAGCTTGGATGACAAAAGATTCCTCAGGATCTGGGTGCTTTAGCACCGGTTCAGCAGTAAAAAGTTACTTCAGCTTTTTGAATGCCAACTGAGATTCCATAGTACATTTTAGTGTTGGCTGGGTATAGGCTTGTCCCCCTCCTTTTGTTTTCAACAGGTTTGTGATGGGAAGGGCTATCTGAGCAAAGGAGGGATCAAGCTTTGCGATCAGCTAGGACAGGAGTGTCAAACCTGTGGCTTAGCATTGTTGTCACATTATGTATTGCAACTTTTTCTTCCTTTGCTAAACAGGGTGGGTGTGGTTAGTGTGTGATGCATCTGGCCCGCAGGCTGTGAGTTTGACACCCTTGAGCTAGGAGGAGTTCGAATTGCCATCTTAGAGCTGTCATGAATCAGTTGAAATTTCTTAGTTCAAGGGCATTTGCATTGTGGAGTCATCCACCTGGCAGCACCCCCTTCTAGAGCCTCTAACCTTGGCTCCTTTGATAAGGATTTCATAGCCACACTCTTGCATGTAAGTAAGAGCATGGGCCAGGAAAAAATCCCAATTTTTGAGGGTCACCACCAAACTTCACGCCAAGGGGGAGTGTTTCATTTTTGGAGAGCTGCACCCTCCACCCAAATCTCTGGATATTCATTCTCCCTGTGCCCCTCATATTGGTCCCCACCACTGCTGCTGCCCCCACCAGGGTTGCATCCACCATCACCATGGTGTCCAGGGATAAGGCTTTCCCATCTCCATCCTCTGTTCAGCCCCGTTGGTCATCATCTCCTGACATCTGAGCCAAAGCCCCTCATGCTCTCAGATTCTGGAAGGCATCCATAATGTATCATATGGCTTGCTTCATGAGAAAGTTGCCATGGTCAGACTCATCCTCTTCCTCCTCATCCTCCAGTGCCTCCAGCTCCTTTCCATACCTGCTGGCAACTGCCTCCGTTTGTCCTTCCTTCCCAGTCTTTCATACCAATGCCTACGGATCACCTAGGCTTAGATGAGTCCCCCAGGCTCACAGCTTCCTATGTCCATCTGGCAGAATTCACTCCTGGGTGAGCCTTAGCAGAGGCTTCACCCCAGCATTCAGCTTTCTCCTGGTCACTGCCTTTCTCCCCCCCACCTCCATTGGAAACCAGGCAGCTGTCAAAGAGAAGGAGCGTGTGCCACTTGGGCTTCTCCCATTCCTCCGCTCCAGCAAAGGAAATGGGTGGGTGGGGCAAGCCTGGTGCGGACAGGCGGGGCGAGCAAGCTGCAACTGGGTGGGCAGGGGGAGTGAGGAAGGGGGCAGACCAGGGGAGGGAGCGTTCCAGTATGGGGCCTCCAGAAAAATGGGCATGGGAAGACACGCTAAAGTTCATGAACAGGTATGGGTGTACCAGTGCGTACCGGCTGAAACCCACCCCTGGATTGTATGGATGCCATAAACACAAGTATTAAATCTAAGAGCAAGAGTACAGTAGCAGCAAATAATGTCTAATTCTTGCTAAACTATAGTAAAACTCTGCAGATCTTTGAAGTGGTGTTGCTTTTTGAGTGATACTTTAAATATTTACATATTTATTGAACATGTAGGTCTCCCAACCCATTCCAGACAATTCTGGCAGCATTAGAGAATTAAAATAACAACAGTGTCAATAAAACTCCAATGAAAAAAGTGATAAACTCTTTCTTTGCAGAACAGCCCTCCAAAGCAATACTGAAAAGTGGCACTCTGTTTCTAACCAATGAGTGCTGTAGCCATGCTGATTGATTCAGTGATGGTTGGTGAAAAAGATTATCAAAGCTAATTAAATTAATCTTGATGGTCGGCTAAGTTGGAATGGCACTTCTTATCAGGATGGATCACCAGTGGCCGACACATTCTATAAGCTGCTGTTTATTTTAACCAGTTTTTCAAATTAACACAGTATCAAGATTGAGCAAGTACTATATTGGCATGAAATCTGCTGTCTTCTTGCCAATCCCTATCACTGTCAACTACCTGAATTCCTTCAAATTAGCAGGTGACAAAGCCAGCTGTATTGCATATTTTTCCTAGGTCTGAGATGTCCCAAGATATACTTCAGTGTATTCATAGTTTTGCATTGCCTCTACTCCTCCCTCAATGTAAGTAAATAGTCAATCCTAATTTATTCTCTTTTGACATTTTTAAAAACCGCTTTCCAAGAAAAATGTATTATGCTGGTTTTAACATTGTTTCAGCATATACCTGCCTAAGGCTATTTTAGTTTATTTTAAGCTACCAGGAAGCCCAGATGGATTTGGCCAAAGCACCAATAATGTAGAATGAGAAAACATTAGAAAAACAATCTATTATCATTACAGAGAGGTGAATCCTCAGGGGTGAAAATTTAGAATGATTGCTCTATAATTTCCTTGGCTATTCTTCAAAGAACAATGTAGCTGGCATTTTTCCGACTGAAGTGTTTGGCTGCAGTACTGGTTAAGAATGAATGAATATAATTCCATTTAGTTCAGCTCTTATATCAGCCAAGCACTAACAGATGAACAGAGTTGGTCATCTAGTTCAACTCTCTGCCCAAGCAGGAGGCTCTACATATGCCTCTACCTAGGATTGAACTCACAATCTTCTGATTGTGAGGCGAGAGCTCCACCTCTAGGCCACAGCAGCAGGTAATTTCTGTCAGCAAAATAACACCAGGTAACTGATGGAGAATATAGCCAACATCACCACTACTAGCTGACCACAGTGTCACCTGTAACATTTTAAAATAATGTTATTAAAGTTGAGAATATAAATATGAAAGACTAATACAAACTAACAAAAATATAAAAAGAGAGATGAAGAGTGAAAAGTGCAGAGAAGAATGAAAAGCACAGAGAAAAAGACAAAGGAAAAAAAATAAAAATTAAAGATGGGAAAAAATTACTCCACCCCTCTCTGCAGACAAGTGTAAACTTAATTAACTTAAAGCTTTTCTGGTATTTCAGCTTTAAAAAAAACCTTCCCATATCTTAAACAATCATAAACAAAATATAAAACTCATCATTAAATTCTGATCATCACAAATCCTTTTAGCGCCACCTTTACAAATCTTAAAAATCTCATCATTCAATCATGGTTTTAAAAATTCCATTAATAGGTGAAAGTAACCACAATTTCTATAATTTAACCCTGACCAAATAAATCCACTTTATATTCCTTCTGTTTACTTTTAAACAGCTTGATCTTTAATTCCTTCAAATAATGTCCCTCAGGTTAATTTTGTTATCATTTTTTCTTTTGTCACTTCTCAGGAACTCCTTTATTAATTTGCCAACCCCTCTTTGTATTAGAAAGCTTTCAAAGTCATTCTTCTGATTTATTATTTGTAAGTCTGCTCTATTTATTAGAACTTTATATACTAAGTACCCAAGATTATTTCCAGTGGCTCTGGAAAATCTTGATATATACACATATAACCACTGTAAATTGTTGTCTGTTGTTCCTTTCTACCATTTTTACCATCTACCTTTTATCTCATTTTGCCAGTTAACTCTTTTGTTGTTTGCTTATATTTAATAAATAAAGATTCACTTATATTTTTGGTGGCTGAACTTGAAGGCAAGTAACCTTACTTTGATCTGGATTGACTTGTAGTATGCTGGTTACAAACTAGGTTGGAAAGAACTCACAGCAATTTTCCAACAAATATGATGTTTGAGCCCTCCGGGACTTATAAACTAGAATGTATGGCTCAGCTAGGTATGTGAAAACAGTCCCCTGTGGCTTATTCAACAAATTGTGCCAAGCTGTATTACAGGTTAATATAGTGTTAAACTTCTGTCTCTGTATATGGCTTCATTTGTTTCCATTAGAAACTCAAGACAGCTTGAAGCAGTACCTTTAACTGAAAGCAATCTGCTAATAGCAAAGCAAATATTGTCAAAGAGTTAACTGAAGACAAAGGCTCTGCACATGTCCACAGTTTGGCTAAAATTATTCTAGTGGAAGATGCTTTTTATTTTATGTTTCCTATTTTTAATGGCATGTGTGGTAGTAAGGTAGGGTGACCAGACGTCCCGTATCTGGCAGGACAGGCACGACTTTTCATCATTTTTCCCGCGTCCCGCCCGGTTCTCAAAAAACCCCGCTTTATTTTGGTGCTCGCTGGCTCCCCCGGCCATCATCAGCTGCCGCTCGCTCGCTCGCTCGTTCCGTTCCCCCATCTATTCTATCTACACTAAAAATCTAAGCCAGCCCAGCCTGCCGCTCACTGAACGCGGCGTGCTTAAAGTTTTCCATCCCAGCCAGCTCACTGATTGGCTGGAGTCCGCTTAGCATGCTGCATGAGTCCCCCGCTGAATGGCGGCCGAGGGGCACGCTAAAGTGCTGGCATGACTTTGAAGGGCTGGCTTGCCGCTTGCCTTCCATGTCGGCCCGCGTGGAAGGCAATCCAGCCCTTTCAAAGTCATGCCGGCAGTTTAGAACTCGCCCACCATTCAGCGAAACATCTTTCGCTGAATGGCGGCCGACGGGCACGCTAAAGTGCCGGCATGAGTTTTAAGGGCTGGCTTGCCGCTTGCCTTCCACGTCAGCCCGCGCAGAAGGCAATCCAGCCCTTTCAAAGTCATGCCGGCAGTTTAGAACTCGACCACCATTCAGCGAAACATCTTTCGCTGAATGGCGGCCGAAAGGCACGCTAAAGTGCCGGCATGAGTTTGAAGGGCTGGCTTGCCTTCCATGTCGGCCCGCATGGAAGGCAAGCCGCACTTCAAAGTCATGCCGGCAGTNCCCCCCCCCAGAGCCTTTGCGCACGTCTCTGAGGCCACTGGGGCTCCCCCCCCCTTTCACTGTCGTCTCCGGGACAGCTAGGGTTCAAAAACCTGTCCAAAAATCCTTCGGTATAGAGGGATTTCAGGAATAGCCTGAAACTCCATCTTCTCACTGCTAAACCCCGCCTTCTTCCAGAAATTTTGAGTAGTTTGGAGAACCAGCAAATATCACCTCTAGCTGGCCCCAGAGTGGGGTGAGAATGGAGATTTTGCAGTATCCTTCTCCTGGAGTGGGGTGGGAATGGAGATTTTGTGGCATATTTCCCCTGCCATGTCCACCAAGCCATGCCCACAGAACTGTAGTAAAAAAATTGAATTTCACCACTGGCAAAAAGGTTATATTTTATTGATTTATGTAAAACATTTATATGGCTGTCTATTTTAAGAAACTTGGGAGTGGTTCATAACAATAAACACCATGATTCTGAAACAACAATAAAAAGAGTAAAACAATACAACAAAAATCTTGCTTTGAGAAAACAATCATTTCCATTGTTGTGAATGATCCTGACAGTTTGGATTCTGGGCATTTTTGGGCTTCAATGTTTTGCTTCAGTAACAAACCCCAAATGTCTACAGTACCACTTAAACACCATTGGCCTTAACAAAATGTGCTATATGACATAATAATTATTTATTAAATTTACAAGCCTGACTCTCATTGCCTCAAGTTGACATGTATATAGTAAGTAATATTACATGGAAATATAATATTGAAATTACATTAAAATAATATTTCATGTGCAGCCAGAATATGTACCATAGTTTTGTGACGATAGGCATCAAAGTATTTCTATTGTCTCCTTCCAATAGTTGAATTAATCTACATATGGATGGATTTAATAATCCAAGCAAGAACTAATCTGATCTGATTTTGACGTATTAAGCATTTTGAGATTGTAGTCCTTTTGGTTTAATTAGAGATTATTTGATACTGTTTTTTTTAAAGTTTTTAAAAATTCCTGGAAATATAATTTGCATCTGTGAAGCGTGTGCTAATAATAACATTGAACAATCACCAAATAGTGTAGAAATGAATTCTTTAGTAACCATTTTGAATGAACAACTGTGTCAACTCCCAGTGTTGTCATGGGAGACAAGGAGGAAGAGTGCATTCCACGCATACTGTCAGGTGGAGTTGGATCTCAGATTACTGCAGCTGGCTTGGGATGGGTGCATCTCATAGGAGAATGTGATCTATGACACACACTGAGGGGAGGGAAGCAATAGAGGTAAAGGTCAGCAATAAATCAAACAAAGTATAGACTTGACTGTGAACAGATCTTGCCTAATGGTGCTCCTAATAAATGACTAGTTTTTACATTGAACCTTGACTCGATAGTCATGAATCAATTAGGGCATTTTTAGGAAATCTCACAAACTGTGCTTTCTTTTATAGATGAAAGGGAAGATGTTCAAAAGAAAACATTCACAAAATGGATAAATGCACAGTTTTCTAAGGTAAGAAAAATACTCATTTTTCATTAAAAATAAAATGTAACTCCAGAATAAATCATATTGTATAGCTATTATTTAAGGAGAACATTAACCAGAATGCTTTCAATCAGTACCTCAACTTACAATAGTTCATTTCATTTCATGACCATAAACTTACAACGGCACTGAGAAAAGTGATTTATACCCATTTTTCACTCTTATGTTGCAGCATCCCCATGGGCATATGATTTACATTCAGGTGCTTAACAATTGACTCATATTTATGAAGTTTGCAGTGTCTTGGGATCATGTGATCCCCTTTTGCAAACTTTTGACAAGCAAAGTCAATGGGGAAACCAGATTCATTTAACAACCTTACTAGTAATTTAAGAACTGCAGAGATTCACTTAATAAACGTGGCACAAAAGCAGTGGTGGGTTTCTACCACTTTGGCCCAATTCAGCCAAACTGGTAGTGGCATGCTGACCTGGATCACAGAATGGGCAGAGACAGGCTGGCCACACCTTTGAACTGGTTCTCGAGTTGCTGCAGTCACCACCGGCATCTTGTTTTTGAATTCTGTGCACGCGCAGAACAATTTATATTGAATTGCGCATGCACATACAGCGCCCATACAACGCGTGAACAAAATACGCCCATGAATGAATGAGCAATAATCCTGGCTAGAACCCACCCCTGCACAAAAGATGGTAAAATGAAGCAAAGCTCACTTAACTAATTTCTCACTTAGCAACATAAATTTTGGGCTCAATTGTGGTCATAAGTTGAGGGCTACCTGTATAGCTTAGTTTGTGTTAGTTTTGCTGGCTAGTTTCCTCTCTTGAATAATTTTGTAAAAAATGAATACAAAACTAAATGAATACAAAGTAACAAAAGTACCCACTGCTATGATTTTGGAAATCAGTATAAAATGGTGTGTTTTAATTGAAAACAGTGTTTTTGGGAATGTTGGATATGATTACAAGCTAGTTCTTTTAAGGAACAATCTTTGAGTTTACTTCTCAGATATGGATAACTTCCCCCCTCCCTATCACCTCTTCTTCCTTGTAGCAAACTTGAAGCTTCAAAGATGGCCTAAGTGCTTCAGGGTTGACAGTTGGACCCCCTTATCTGATGAGAAACTCCTGAAAAAGAAAATAAACCATATAGAGGTTAATCTGTGCTCAAATTAGCCCCGTCTTCCTCCCCCCGGAAGTCCCTTTGGTTTTTTAGAGTATTTCTTATGGAAGTGTTTGACCAGTCTGTATGCTTTTACATCCCAGCTCTTTACCCACATAGCTTCAGAGACAGGTATCCATTCCATTATACTAAGTATTGCAACCTCCCCTTGTACAATCTGGAATCTAAGGTTCCCTTTATTTTATAATGTGTTTCTCTTTACACTATGATCAGTTTTGGGGATGCCTGGTCTAGTGGCCTCAGCTGGGAGTCTACACCAGCTTTAGCAAACTGGTGTGAAAAAACGGGTGCACTTCCCTAGTAGGTGGGGGAAGTTGTAGCTGTACTGTAACAGGATTAATCACTTTCACTACCAGGAAAGGCATATGAATTTTGGCCCTAGGTTCTGCAGGGGAGTTTTAACCTCAAATATTTCATATCTGGAAAGGCTTCTGAGAGGCTTCATGTTTATCGGCTTGCGCTTTGTGGGTTTTTCTTAAAGGGTTTGTTTCATATTTTCCAGGCTTTTTTCAGGGACTTCATCCACTCACTTAAGGACATGGAGGAGGGTGGCTCCCTAAGGAGCTCAGGCATGGGGATGAATTCCATGCCACTGGTGACCTGGAAGGAGGTTAAGTTGATGATACTATACACCACATTATTATATGCCACTTTAGCAAAAGACAGTAATTCTGCCCAATTGATTTGTTGGTAATCTATGTCTTAAATATTGTTCAACCATGGTGTTAGCTTGTTCTACAGCCCTGTTAGTACTTGGATGAAATGCTGAACTAAGCCCCTGTGAGGACCAAATGGACCATATAAACTCCCTCCAGAACTTAGCTATAAGTTGGACCCCATCTCAGAGATGATTCTATGAGGAATGTCATGTAGCCTGTAGATGTGTTTTACTAACAATTTGGCCAGCTTGTGGGCTAATGGGAGACTGAAACAGGCTATGCAATGGGCTTGTTTTGAGAACAGGTCTATTATGGTCTAAATGACCATGTTGCCCCCACTCTCAGTGAGCTCTACTATAAAGTCCATGGCAATTTCTTCCCAAGGCCAGAACAGGTCTGCCACTTGTTGGAGAAACCCTGTAGGTTTCCCTGGTATTTTCTTCATTGCTGCACAGGTTGCACAACTTTTGACATAGTCACAATGTCCCTTTTCATTTTCGGCCCTCAAAGTTGTCTGGCAACAAGATAAAGCCAGTATGGAGTTAAAGAGTATGCTACAGCCTATACATGAAGACCTCAAAGAAAGAATAAACAAAGTGGATGAAGATTTGAAAGAGGTCAAAGAGATAATGGGAAAAAATGAGCAGAGATTGCAGAAAGTGGAGGAAAGGGTGGAAACAACAGAGAAGCAAATGGAGGAGATGGATTATAAACAACAGATAAAAATTAAGAAAAGATAAATATCTCTTGGGAGATGGACAAAGCTGACTATTATTTAAGATTCCAAAATATTGAAGAGGAAAAGGAAGAGAACCTAGTGGAAAAAATTGCAGACATATTGGTGGACAGACTGGAAGAATCCAAGGAAAAGGTGCTAAGTGGGATTGACAAACTCTATAGGGTCCATACAAGATATGCTATAAGAAATAAATTACCCAGAGAGGTGCATGAAAACACTAAGAAAACACTGAGAACAGAGATTTGGCAAGCTGCAAGGAATACTACAATAAAATACAAATCTAAAGAAACAATAGTTCTTAAACAAGTGCCAAGAAGAGTGAGAGATCTAAGAAGGGAATATCAATTCCTGACCAAATGCCTAATAAAAAAGGGGTTAATTTCAGATGGTTAATACTAGAAGGGATACTAGTAACTTGGCAGGAACAAAAACACAGCCTGGATACAGTAGAGAAGGCAGAATCATTTTGTGAAGAATATTTTGGACCACAAGAAGAAGAGAGATGGAGAGAGGAAAGAGGAATAAAATTACAAGAAGAGAAGGAGAAAGAACAGAGAGAATTAGTTAAAGAACAAGAAGAAAGGACATTAAGAGAAGGAGCAAGCTCAAAGGAGATGAAAGAACAAATGGAGATGAGAGTGACTAGATCAACTAAAACTACAAATAACTAAGAAATGGAAGAAGAAATAAAAATAATCTCATTAAACATAAATGGACTAAATTCAAATATAAAAAGAGGACATTTAATAAATTAGAGAAATTGAAATTAGATATAATATGCCTGCAAGAAGTACATATTAAAAAGCAACACAAAAAATACTTGAATTATCAAAAATTGGGGAAGTTGTATACGACACCTGCTGATCAAAGCAAAAAAGGTGTGGCACTATATATCAAAAAATCAATACATGCAAAGCAAATATTTGAAGATGAAGAAGTAAGAATATAGATAGTAGAAATAATGATGAATAATAAAAAAAATATTGATGGTGGCAATATATGCACCAAATGAGAATCAAGAAGAATTTTATGGAAAACTGCACAAAACGATAATAGAATATGAATATGAAGAAATATGCATATTAGGGGACTTTAATGCAATAGTAAATAACGAGTTGAATTATAAAACTACAAAGTCAAATAAGAGGTTAAGGAGACCACTGCTTAAAACATTCTTTACAATGATGGATTAATTAAGCCTAGAAGATGTATGGAGAAGAAGACACCTGAGAGAAAAACAATATATATTTTACTCAAATGGACACATGTTGTGGTCAAGAATAGATATGATTTGGACAACAATAGACTTAATTGCTGAAACACAAAAGATATATATATATATATATATATATATATATATATATATATATA